GTTCCTGAACTGTATTTTTCTTTCTTCATGTGTTTTTGTTATTATTATAGCTGGGGGTTCTGCGTGCACTTTTACAGAGTAAACTATAAAATAACAGCAAAAACCATTTTATTTGAAATTGCCTGAGGTGAAGTTTATTACTCCCACTGCAGTGGAACTCAAAAATTTCTTTAACTTTAAAATGAAAGTCTCAAATTTGTACATTTAGAGTTGATCCAAAAATGTATTCCTAAAGTTCATATGAAAGTTGTTGCTGTTTCTCTTTCGACTACTCCCTGCTGCAGGGGTTCCCACAGCTCAGAACGATTTGGAAATTGTTCGATGCTGGACGCTCTTCCTGATGCAACCTGGGTTCTAACCCGCAACCTCAAGATTTAAAAACCTCAGCACTGACCACCAAGCTACAGCAACCATGAAGTTTGTAAGGTTAGCTTATGCTATTATTGAGATTTTACATTTTTATTTAATAAAACTCAAAATGAAGCTTAGGCCACTTTGAATTTTGAAGGTATTTAAATGTGTATGTGTTTGTAAAGAACTGAACAAAGTTTTGTGAGTTCCACTGCAGCAAAGTAATAAACTGCATCTAGGACTGGTTCAAATAAAATGCTCCTTGTTTTTTTATTTATTTTTTTTCTGTAGTTTATACAGTAAATGCTCACCCATATTCCCCAGCTCCATTAATAATAATAATAATAATAATAAAAACAGATCAAATACTGTAGAGCTCAGGAGCACAGTGTGTTTTGCTTCCTCACACAAACACATTTTGGTTTTCCTTTTTCCAACATTTTAACTTGTTTTCTGGCAATAATACTCCAACTTTAGTCTCAAAAGTTTGATTTTATTCTCAATGTTTCAGCATTATTCTCAAAACACAGGATGGCCCGTATAAAGTTTTTTAGGCTTTTTGYTCAGTGTTCACGTTATTTTTAGTAGCTGATTATCTCAAAAAATGAGGAAAAGAAAGGTTGCTTTTTGCTCATTTTAATCAGCAGATGCTCACTATAAACAAGCTTTTTGTCTCCATACACAGTATTGAATATTACTCTTGTGTATGGCTGGCAGACATGGCAGAAAAATGTATCAGGATATARGCATTTCAATACAGTCCATATTAATAATAGATTCATATTTGTTTTACTCAGTCCCAACGAGTGACATGACCTTTCACCTTATCCACAATTTCCKCTCAAGCTGTTGCACTGATTTTCTCCTTTCACGCTGTCGTTCTTTATATTTTTAATGAGTTAAGAGGCAAAACCTAAAAGTGCTACTGTTACTGAACAGGTTGTTGCTAGCTTACCAAAGAGGGAGTTAATGAGTGACTAAAGCCTTTCCTCTGCCTACATSCCCCAGAATGCCGTGTGGTTGTGGAAGGATGTCAAAGAATTCATCWCTTTTTTTTCTTTTTCTTTTTTAAAAAGGACAGTATTCCAACCTGGATTCAAATTGGACTATATCCTCTTAAAGAACAGGTACCAAGTGACTTATTCTATGAATGGAGCTTTAAAACAATATCTAAGAAGATAAGCAACCTTATGGAATATGAATCACAAAATCCTCAGACAGAAAAAAAAGGATTATCACTCAAAACACAGTTGATTCTTATTGAACTCATTCCAATGACCCTCAGTACCAAAATCCTGGAGAACTGGCATCACAGTGGATGACTGGTCTGATAGAGGACTTCTTATGTGCTTTGAACAGTTAAAGAGGAAATATTTATCTGGGAAAACTTTCTGTTAACTCCAGCAGAGATCTTTTCTTGGAGCTAGCCTTGGTGCTGAAATGAAGCTATTGTTTTTTACTGGCATTGGGAAACTAATGTATGAAGGAAATTCTTGTAAGTTTATGTTTAAAATGTAAGTTTTTTGTTGAATAATGGTCCTAAAACTGGTTTACATAGGTGTAGGGAGAGGTGGGAGTCAGACTTGAACATTAGAATCGACAAACATTTATGTTCAGATTTATGTCAGGGCAGTCTATCAGCCTGCTTCAGATTAGTACATTATAGTTTTCTACACCGGCTATCCTTACCCCCCAAAAACTGCACAGATCGAATTTGTCAGAAATGTGCTTCAGATAAAACACAGTCTGATTTTACACTGCACATGGCTTTGTTTGAAGGTTAGCCCTTTGCCGAAACACTGATTTTGAAAGTAGCAGTCTCAGTAGCAAARACACGTATAACACTCCCCCCTTCTCATCAATAGACAGCTCACTGAAATGAACAGTTGCATCCCAGTTGAAAACATTGCTTATAGTGTAAAGATAAAATTTATCTTCTTAAAAGCTGGCAATCTTACTTAGAATATAATAACAATGCACAGGTGTTGCCATATAAGTGTGATTACTTGAAAATAGCATAAAAAAATCTTAGGCTGAGACCCCTCACTGTTCTTTGTTTTCCTTTTTTAAATTTAATTTATATTGTTTTTTCCCCTTAGATAAGGGATGCTCATTGTTGTGAGTTWTATTGTTTTATGTAAAACAGCTCAAATATTGAAAAAACAAAAACACTTTCTATTGATAACATATGATAAATCTAATTGTTTGTTTTGTTTTTCTTGTGCATTATTCGATGCTGTCAGAGTCATAACTAAGAGAAGGRTGGAACATATCGGTGCAGAAGTCAGGCCTTCTCACCTCTGACCACAATAGTGGTGGACTTCTTGGCCGGGTTTCCCACATTGTTGCTGGCCACGCAGCTGTAGATGCCCGCCTCTTCTGAGGTGATGGCYGGCAGTGTGAGCGTGCCGCCTTTCACCACGCTCCTCTGAGGCAGACTGTCGTTACTGCTGACCCAGGTGAGGATAGGCGGCGGCTCCCCTCCCGTGGTGATGCAGACCAACGATACRGTCTGACCAGGATTGACCACGATGGGATCCTCCACCAGCAGCTTGATAGATGGAGAGGCTGTGGAGACATTTTTTAATGAGAATTTTTAAATTGAGTCATTTTTGTGCCTTATGAGCCYGCATTTTAAAAAGCCAATAATCCTATTGAGTACCTGTCTTATTGGTGAGCCTGAAGATTACACTACGGTCAGGAATCCCACATACATTTCTCACAGAGGCGATGCAGCTGTAGTTGGCGTAGTCTTGAGGACGTAGGTTCTTCAACTTCAGGATCTTTGTTTCCCCCTGCAGCTCAGACCAAACCAACACTGGTATACAAATGTGTGCAAAGACATCATTATAATCAAGTATAACACATGCTGAAAACTAGATCCTGAGGAGGCAAAGGCTAAAGAGCTTCAGGGAAAGGTCAAACAGATGAATATGTATACCAAGTGCGAGGAAAATGCACTATTATTCATAGAATTGAAATAAAAATAATGCTGATATGTTTCATAAAGAAAAATAAATCTGTCAGCTTGCTCACTACCAATGAGAGGATTACTCTACAAAAGGCGCCTGCAGTATTTTCACCGTGGCACTTCAGAGATATGCATGGACTCAGCGGGGGGTCGCTCCATGAAATGGCTCTCTCATGAAGAGGAGTTTGCATTTCATTCCAACCAGGCCAGTCAGCCACAAACCTCAACCAAAAGTTTATGATGAGGATGTAAACCTTTGATCTGGCTGACTCCAATGYGTGACTGTATATAGGGATGAGCCAGATTAAAACATAAGTCAGACATGATGCGGCGGTGCAAACCGCTACAATCACGGGAGTCTTTCAAATCTGTTTCACACAGGCACAAACTCAAGAAAAACAATTGTATTCAATTACCATGAGCCTATATTTAACCCTCATTTTTCTGTCACCTGTGCTTTGAAGCAGATAAGGTGGGATGATTTTGGTCCTCAGAGTGCACTCTTCATTCAGTGTTGAAGAGGAAAATGTGGTGGTGAAGGAAGGGCAAAATGTCTTTGGAAAATACTAAAAGGAAAGGACAAAGTGGTTGTATGGCCATGATGATGGAAGTCTGAAAAACCAAACCACTCACCAATTTTAATACAAAGAAGGGAAGGGGAAACATTTTTGGGAGGTTTGTGAGTTTTGTCAAGTATGTACAGATTTATTTCGGTGCATCTGACCCTAACGTTAAATGTAGAATTGTTTGTTTGTAAGGACTAAAGTTATTACCTTCAAGTTGCAGGTAGCCTTTAATAACATGAGAAAAAAATAAGATAAAATTACTCCACTCTGAGGAACATATAAGCTGTAAATCTTCTACTTATTTGTCAAAGGGTATGGTGCTTCTAACATAATGTGACTGTTGATCCCAAACTTTTCAAGTTTTGTTTAGCAAATGTTGCAAGGAATCTAACTATGTGCTGTACTTCGGTAAAATGTTTAAACACAGTAATAGAGCAGTGTATGTTACCTCTCCCTGTACCATGTTTTGCTGATGGAAATACAATTAGGCAAGTAATTGATTTTGCTTTCGATGTCCAGCCCTGGAGGTTGCTGCACAAAGAGCACAACTATAATACAAATCTGAAATAGTTACCTTCACAGAAATAAAAACACATTTTTGCTAACACGTGATAGTTTTAATTGTACTGATCATTAAGCTAGTCTTATGTCCCAAGGTCACCTACATTAGGGGTTTACTTTTGATTGGTACAACTTTCACTCACTAGACATTTATGGAAAATGTTAACKATTTGTTGTTTAAGGTAATTTTTAATACTTTATTATAATTTCAGATGGGATTTAATTTGATTTGCAATCAAGGAATATACAATTTTACAAATACTGTATTTTCTGTGACTTATAGTCAGTGTGACATACAGTATAAATATATGTTTTTTCTCTTCATGAGCCAGTTTTTGACTTATGGCTTAAATGTTAGTTCATACTGACTGACATGAACCAAGAAGTAAACATTACCATTTGCAGTTTGCAGTAATGACAACTATGGAATATGTTGTTCCTGTATGATCAAAAGTACGCAGCCCAAAAAGCTAATCAAGCAGCAGAAAAAACGTTTGGAGAAAATGAGTAATGCATGCAGGACTGGCAAAAAGCAGAGGTTGTTCTCACAGTAATGAAGAAAATGAAGAAAATGAATCTTGTGATGTGGATTGAGGTTGGTGAATTTACCAGTAATTTGCTTGTTGGACTTGCAGGCTTGTTATGTTTTCTTTAAGTGATTTAGCATCCCAGGTATGTTCTTTGTTATTCCAGATTAAATGTCTGTTCCTAAACTTTTTCAAATATATATATTTTAAATAAAWGTGACATGTTTTTTCATCATTTCATGACACCTTTTTTAACTGATGCGACTTATCCACTGGAGCGACTTGTAGTCCGGAAAACACAGAAGTAATTTATCTTTAAATTTACTTTGCAGACTCAAGAATCATTTTTGTACTGCTGTTACTCTTTGGTTAGGTTACGTTGTTTTAGGATAAGACTTATTCTGTAATCTTATTTATTTTTTTTCTTTTCTGTGAAAAAAAATCAGATTAAAATAATTGAATGTATTTCTCAGACTGCAATGTCTAATTTGGTGCTTAAGTAATAGTTTTGGAAGGCTTTTATTGCAGAATAAAGACATGAATAGAACTAACGTGTCATGACAGTGATGGATTTTCCAGTATTGGGCTGTCACATTTTTTATTTTTGGTTGAAGCCTTTCAGGTTAAATGTATAACATATAAATTACAAATGTTTAATTAATTGCTAAAAAACATAAATGGATGTGTTATACCTTTTACAAYTGTGGCACTTTGTAGTAAAATGAGACACAAAGCATGGGGGTCATCAGAAAGGGGGAGATATTTTTTTTTTCCAGTTTATCAAAGTACCAGGGGTTTCATTGTTGAAGTCAAGTTTAAAATGCTTCCACTGCATTTCTACAACCTCAATGAGAATATAAAGCATTAGGCTGCCTGTAAAATCTGCAGACGGACAGCTGAAATGAAGAATAATGGCAGAGGRGAGGTAAGAAGTTGAACTCAACAAGTCTCCCTGACTAAATGAAAACYAGAATGGAGAAAATTGGACTCAACTTGACCTTGTAGCTTTGTATTACAGTCTATTATAAATTAGTCCTTTTTTTGTCTCTTGATATATTGTTGAAAAATAGCATTATTAGCCATTTATAGGAGCAAATTACTAGCAGTTTAGTCTAGAGTTACTTGGGGTTATGGTCTCACAMAATGCTATTCTTTGGGTTTTAGGTTGTGCTCCAATTTTCAGACCCAATTAAAGCTCTAATAGAGAAGAGCAGGAAAAAAAAAACAAAAGGAAAAGGAAAAGAAACTCAAAGGAAAACTGAGAGTGAAATGAAAACGTGTCGTTTTTTTTTAGGCCGAGTCCTGCAGCTTCTGCTTTCCTGAACCCACCTCATTAGTTACTAGCCATCTTTACTCATTTGGCCAAACATCAGTTATTTTTTCTATTTTTTCTTAAGCCACTTTTATTCCCTATTGGTCTGCATTCCTACTGACTCAGAGTACAAATTACATTCAACTCAATCAATTCAAAAACTACAATTCCCTCACAAGTGACTGAACAATCTCAATCAGTTCTTTGTCGATGGCAGAAMATCCCTTTTGGAACAAAGCGTCTCAATTTCCAGACTGTACAGAAAATCCAATAGCTCAATATGCATGTAAACCATGAAAGTGGGTTGGTAGAATCTGGCGTTGCTATTCAGAGGGTTAATTAGGACAAGTTTTATTGTCCCATTGTGGGGGCAGTCAGGCGTGAGGTAGGCTTTTAAAACAAATAACATTTCTATTCCACACACAAACAGCTAAATGAAGTTGAAGCACTGCAATTACAGTCTTTTCTCCAGCAGTCTGTTTTATTTATAAGATGTGTTGATTTGTTAACCAGAAACAGTGACTGTCTGTAGTGAAAGTGCAACAGAGTTTTGGTTTGGGCTTTTTTTGTCTTTGTCAAACAAAATATTTGCCCTTAACTAAAATAAAGACATCATTTTGTAGTTCTCAATAAAATCCATGTCTGTTTTATTAATAAAAAAATAACTATGAGATCATTACTATGCAAATTGTTTTAGTTTTTGAGCTGAACTCATCTTATTGAGCTCCAATGACACAATTGTTAAATGTGGTTTAAAACCCAAAGTTTAAATTCCACATCTACTGAGAGAAAAATGCATTRCGTGGTGTTGTTGTCTTTTTTCTTTTTTGTGACTGAACTGAATCGATAACATTATTTTCTGAGCATTTAAATTAGCAATCAGCCACARACACCCAGAGACAGAGAATTGTATCATTAAACACAAAAAAGTAACAAATTCTAAGCCTGTTTTGCAAATGAGTGTTTTCTCAGCACTAAAAACATTGTCTGCTGGAATTATTTCCCCGTGTTTTTGTCACACAGCTACAAYTGTGTGAGACCATAAGGGATTCAACAGTTTCAGCAATATTGACTCTGAAAACTGCTGTTCACAGTGTTTCTGTGTAAAATACTTCTGCATTTCTGTAATATTTTAGATTTGTTGGAAAGAAAATATTTTTAGAGTATCAACATTTACATTTTTTAGAAGATTTTGTGTTTTAATACTACCATATACAGTATACCATGTCCTTTAGCRGGACGAGCTAAAGCTCCCAATCAAATGCACAAAAATGTTTGAAACCAAAAAGCAGAATTGGTTTACAGCAAACCACAATAGGCTTTGCTCTAAATTCATTAAAAAAGCTAATCATTAAAGTAACCCAAGCCAGCTTAAATAGCAATAAAAAATGTCCCCAGAGACACACAATAAGCTTCCAAAGGGAAAAAAAATAGATTTGTTTTCAAAGGTTCTACAGCTAAAATCTGAACAATAATTGTGTCCAAGCTGCATTTTCACTATGTGCAATCCAATTAGTTGTTGCTTAAAAACTTTTAAAGTGATAATAGTCTGACTACTCTAATTTCATTTATTCCTTTTCAGCAGCTTATCCATGGTTGGATTGTGGAGGTCACAGCAGGTCCAAGAGAGGAACCCAGACAGCCTTTTACAGTTGTGCTTGGAAGATCCTGAGGCATTCCCAGTCCAGAGATTATACAGTTTAATCCCTCAAGTGAATTCTGGGATTTCTTCCAGTATGATGTGCCTGAAACATTACAAGATGGAAGCCACCAGGAAGTTTCCTGCTCGTTGTTCAAACTACTTCAGCTGACTCGTTTCAGTGTGAGAAGCAGTGGCTGTACTCCCAGCAACCCCCCAGATGATGTAGCTCCTCTTGATTTTTGTAAGGATGAGCCACCCTACATTGAAAGCTCATTTCACCTGCTTGTATCCAAGATTTCATTCTTACAGCCATGATCCATATTTCATGATCGTAAGTAAGGGTTGGCTTGTGAACAGATCTGTAAATGGAGAGCTTTGTCTTTTTGGTTCAGCTCCTACAGAGCAACACTCCTATTACAGTGGATGATGCCCTGAACTGTTGGTCCATCCCTCACTCCATCCTACAATCATTCATGAATWACACATCATACTAGCACTTATCTCCTGCTTTCATTTTCTCTACATCAGTTGTATATTCTGTTGCCTCTGTCTTACCTGTGTGAAGAAAGGCTCGTAGATCTCCACACCTTTGTCCGAGCCCTGCGTCAAGACCTCTCGCCCACGGTGCCAGCTGTACCGGACAGGTGGGTTGGAATTGGCCACGCAGCGCAGGAACACAGTCCTCTCATAATAGAACTGTTCCTTAGCCTCTCCTATACTCTGGTGAACCGTCACTACTGGGTCATCTAGGTCTGTTAGAGAAACAGGAACAGAAGAGATGTTTAGGAACTTGTCCACAAGGTGGGAARATGTATTTTTTCAGATCAGCTGATATTGACCATGTTGAAAAAAAAATGGTAGCCTGAATGAAATTATGAAATTATTTTAATATCAATAAATATAAAAACAACACACAAGTCAAGCTGTTTTATTGTGGATTAAGGTCAAATGAAAAAGTTCTGATTTTTCATCACATTAGAACAGGGAGTTATCAAGATGCATTTCTGGGTCGATGTGTAAAAAGGTGAGAAGCTCAGTACTTAAACTACTTAAGTCAATAGGATGCAGCCCAAGGGCACACAGACTTCTTAATCAAATCGAGCTGCTGTGTATTCCGCGTAGCGCTCCATTGTGATCCTCAAACAAAGGAGAGGATGACAAATATTGCAAACAAAATAAAGTTTGACGTCCATCACTGTTTGTCTGGTTTAGAAACTCTGTAATTTGACACATCCATTCATTCCCCCAGCAGATCTGAGGGAAGTTTTACCCAAACAGCAGGCAGTTGGTTATTTGAGAAAGCGCTTGTGGTTGATTAAATGGATTCAAAGTTAATCATCTTACGCCGCTATCGCATTAAGCCTTGGCAAATGGTGTTCATCATAGCCTTGCTGTCTTTTAGCATGCTAATACTCGCCTTTTAGATTATGTCCATTTGCATGCTCAAAGAACAYGCGGGGCTAGCTGTTTCCCTTTCATCTCCATCCCGAGATGTAATCAGTTTTTAACTCGAGCAAAAAGGCAATAAAGGAGGAAGATGAGAGAAGCTAATGCAAGTTATCCCTCATGCTAAAATTGTGACTGATAAAGGCTGACCTTTTCCATATGAAGGGAAAAGGATTGAGTTTATTAATGAGTGTGTTAGTTTATCAGCTAGTAAGCAACWAGGTAGATGACTGAACATGTGGGTGACTGTGTGTTTGCATGTGGAGAGAGCTTACAGCTTATAGTAAGTGAATACCCACATCTTTAAAGGGGCAATATTATGTGTTTCTCAGGCATACCTTTAAATACTATACCATAATAAAGTATCTATGTCACCTTTAGCTGCTATTAAAATGCTGTTTTAATGTTTAAATAGAAAAAAATAAACTTATCTTCTCATCACTTCCTCTTCTAAATGCCTTGAAATTGGCCTCTGTCTCTTTAAGAACAACCTTGGGCTCCTTTCTCGCCCATTTCGGTGTGGGTGGGGGGAGGGGGTCGCGCTCGCCATGATGGATGCAGTTTACTTAGCATCTGAAAATAAATTTCCTCAAATGTTTTTTTAATCTAAAAAGAGCTTCACTGAGTGAAAACTAATGTTAAGAGCTCCGCAGACAGATTGAGTTTCACTTTCACTTTCACCCGAGAGCTTGCAGTAGTCATGGGCGGGGTGTGTGGGGAGGTGGGGCACTCTACCATGAGGAAGTTTGGCTTAAAGACACGTCCCAGGGGTGTTCCTGGTACCAAAAGGCATTTCTGGTCCCCACCTGTCGTTTTGCTCATCAGCATGGCTTCCTAAAGACGCTGCAGGATTTCTCAAACATGCATGAATGAGTCAAAGCAAGGCTTTGGGCATGTTTTTTATGAGATTATAACATTATAACATGATATAAAACTCAGAAAAGTTGATTTTGCATGATGTTGCCCCTTTAATGAATGCAGGTCTCCAGAGGGAAAAAAACTACACACACTTWCGCTATTATTAATAGATGAATTCATAGTATTTAATTCAATAGCTTTGGCCCATCCCTGGATTTGCAGGAGATCAGGTCCTAATCAAAGTACCCAGCAGAGCCACAGTGCACAGCATTCAGCCTTGACGCACCATACAGGAGAATGCTGATTCCTCAGTTTCATTAAAGACGTGTTCTGCCCTACAGCCCCTTAATCAAAATCTAGCAGCGGTCAATACTTCATCCAGGATCCATTACAGTGTCTCAGGTAAGAGCAATTACCTTTAGGGGGAGGAGGGCGGGGGACAGGTAAGGAGAGATGGGGGAGGGCACTGTGGAAAAGACAGAGCATTTGCAGGGTCGTTTTAGATGAGCAGACCGCTCTAAGTAAATCTACTGATTCATTATAGTGAGGCGGGAGAGTGTATGAATCCTACATCTTATCTCTTACTTCGCCTGCCTTCTGCCTCATCAGTTTCCTGCTTTAAACAGTCGATTTACCAACGGTGGCAGGAATGGAGTGATTCATTGACAACCCTATCTGCCTTGGAATACACGTGTCTGAGAACGCTGGACCTGATAGGAGGTTGTGGTGACAAGACTGAGAGCGTGTTCCTCTCTGAGAAGTGGTAAAAGGCGTGGTTTGTGCTATCATTAGAACCAAAATGATACGCACAGAGAACGTGGATGCTAGTAACGTAGAAAAATAAATATGAAAATGTAGGCACTGGATTAAAATTTGATGAATTCCAAACAGAATTCCACCTCCAACATCAGTCTTACTCCTGTAAAGATGTTGTGCGTGTATATGTGTGTCACTCTYGTGCAATTAGCTTCTTAAGTCAAGCTTGACTGATTGTGAGGCTTAAATCCCAGAGCCCAGAGGAAAACTGCGCCGTGCAGGCTGGCTGTGCCAGAGTTGTTAAGGTTTGTAATTGCAGGTTTATGGCTTCACAGGCCGGTAAATCTTCCCGTGTACAGCGAAACGCTCCAGTGCACTAACCGTAGCATCACTCCCGCTCACCTCTACCAACCATGACAAGTCTCAAATCTCTGGGTTTCTCTGATATGAAAACACAGGGGGGAGGAGGGGGAGGGCAGCATGATACACAGATGTGTGAATGCTAGGCGCGCAGCTCATGTGAGCCAGAGTAAGTCTCGCAAGGCAAGCATACAAAAAGCTACAACACTTGATTTATCACCAATTGTTTCATTGTCTGAAGTGAGAAAACCTGAAGATGATGATATTCCCATCTGAACAGCAGCAAGCAGTACTCTACTTTAGCAGCCTTTCAAAACATTTGTTGGACAAATAGATGCAGGTAGAGCGGTGTGGATAAAAGAGAAGATGACGACTAAAGAAGGCACTTCATTAACACATCAAACTCCAACGCGATCCTTTCATGTCCCACACCATCTCACCCCCACAAAATAAATAAATTAAAAAAGCCAGCACCTGTGTGAAAACATGTGCATTGCCCCGCTCCATCACAGACCTCTGAGGCTGTCCCTTAGCTGTTAAACCAACACAAATTTGTTTATATTTTCTGGGCTTTGATGTTTTTTTACCCTCCGCACCCAATTTGATGAAGTCACCACTGAAGAAGATACCTATCAGGTTGTCAGCCATGAGCGACAGAGGCATGCCTGTAATTTCACCTAATCACTGTCTCAGGGGGAGCTGCTGACCTGAATGACATATGTGTCTTTCATAAGCAGAAACAGTCCTATTATGTCTTACAAGCAATTTCCATTTTTTTATGCCAAGGGCAGATAGAGACAAAGGAGGTCATAATGAAAAACCAAAAACATTGAAACATATCCTCAATACAAACCAGATATGGACAGGGATTAATTCAATTTAGAGACATTTTGAATGATGAGTTACTAAGWTAAAATTATTAGAAAAGTCCAGAAAAAGAAAAATCAGAAACTATGGCAGTGACTGGTGGACAAAAATAATGAGCTGAAAAAAAAGTATACCTATGCGTCTACAGGTTCAGCTGACAGCTAATCAAATTCTGATTAAGTTGAACTAAAAAAAATCTAATGAATGGGTCATATTTAAGAGGCAACTCTGGCCTCTAAATTATAAACAAGCTGCTACATTATGCAGTGTTAGCTACGTTTGCCCAAATRCATAAAAATCAGCATAAAAACAAATATTAAACCAATGCAAGTAAAAGTATTTAGTTATGCCATTTAATAAGAGTCTGTAAAAAGTTTAAAGTTTAGCTAGAGGCTACTGATGGTGCTAAAGTTGCCTGAGTAGGACCTGAGTATACAGACTAGACTTGAGGACTTAGGTGCACAAAGAAGAATTGTCATCCATCCATCCATCCATCCATCCATCCATCCATCCATCCATCCATCCATCCATCATCCATCCATCCATCCATCCATCCATCCATCCATCCATTCNCCATCCATCCATCCATCCATCCATCCATCCATCCATCCATCCATCCATCCATCCATCCATCCATCCATCCATAAACCATTTAAGTTTATTTTTAAACCAGATGCCATTTTGCTCATTTATCATGGTTGTTTTTAGACAAGTTGAGTACATTGAGATGTTCTGAAATAAAATCTCAGATTAAAAAATTTTACAGCATAAATATTGTGTATGAAAAGATTTATTTCTGTTAATCTCAAATGTGTTTATTTTTTAAATCTAGGTAAAATAGTCCATTTAAAATGAGTCAAATTTTGAGTACGTTTTTACACTACTAATTTTTTCTTGTGCTAAGTTCAAATTTTAGTATAATTTTATCATACGTTATTTTGATACTCTTTCCACTTTTGATGATACTAATATGTCTGATTGCGTACAATGGGCCTCATTCCTACGAACGGATTTGTTCTTAAGTTGTGCGTTCGAGTGATTTAGGAGAATTTGTGGCATTCACCAACGTTTTCGTATTCTAAGATTTTCTTCAGATACGAACAAAATTCACGAGTGGTCCAGACCTGTCGTATATTTTACGAGCAGTCAGTCTGCTGTTATCTAGCTGGATTTTTCTCATTAATAACTTTATATTCCATTAGTTTGAAGATATTTCGAGTTGAATATAAATCACATTCCATAATTATGTTCACAATAGGTTATTCTGTTTGAATTGGAATTAGATTTTAAATGTAACTAATGACATAATTTGGTTAGATTAAATTAAATTGGCTATTAATGCAGTTGTATAACACTACAATATTAATATAAAGATCTCAAACTAAAAACCAACTTAAATTATGCATTAAAAATAAAGTTTGGAGACATTTTTAGACACTTTTTCAGAACCGCATCTGACACTTGT